TATAGATCATCGGCATCATCATGAACTGAATTCGTTTCCCCATGCCAAATGTCCTTCCTTCATCTGAAAAATTTGTTTGAAGATTATTTTGAAAAATTTCAAGAAAAAAGACAACGATATAAAACAAAATACAATTCTGTAAATCAATTACTGTGATTTTGATAAATTGCCGAATGATTTGAATACATCCCAAGCTCCTGTCGCAGTTACGTGCAGTTATTGATAATTGTGCGGTCTGATTTATGGCGCTCGAGAATTTCCGACACCTTCGTAACTCGTTAAATAGGAAAGGATGCAGATATTCACCTGTACCGATTGAAGAAAATAGAACATAGAAAACCGACGTGCGCTCATACATCTTGCTGCACTTACACTTCTCTATACATGCGAATGGACGTTACTTTGCTAATTAGACACGCTCTGAATGAATATTTCTAGTCGAGTGCAAAGTTTCGAGGCGCACACAGAAAAGCTTTTTCTTTGTGTACATACAACATATCTAGTATTTTCATTGATTCTTACAAAAAAAGAGAGATTGCGCGTGCCTACGGTATACAGCTATGAAGAATGTCGTTGACATTTTATTAACATATTATGAAAAGCCCGTACAGTTACGTTGAAATCGTTTGAGAATTATCTCACGCGAGCTAATGTCTTAGAAGCTGTATCTGAAAATCAAAAGTTCGGTCTCGCATAAAAATGCCGCCGCCGCCTCGCGTTACACTTATCATTGCAATCGAGCGCTGCGCCCAATTACGCGTACCTGGGTACATTATGCGCACACAATGGGACGTGCTTTACAAACTCACCTGCGCGCGCCACGAGGAGGAATTCGCGCTATAATTTTGATGAAAGTCTGACGAGAGGCCTCGTGTAATGATATACCGTTAAACAGCTATAGAAGCGTTAAAATCCAATATACAGCCGATTAAAAAAATGCTAAATTTTCGAAAGTTTGTTTTCGCGGCTCGCTATAACGGTAGCACTTGCAGTGTCGATGATCGTCACCCACACACGTACACGAGCGTTGTGTTTTTCCTTATCGTTACTCGGCTCGTTTCGCCGAGGCAGTTCGCGAATTATTAGCAAGTACTAGTTCCGAAACATGAGTACTTAATATTTCTGCGTTTCTGCAAAAAATGATCTATATTTCTGAAAATTCTCGCATATATACAAACTCTTGCGCGGTTTAGCTACATTCGCCGAGATTTAGGGCAATATGGTTACGAGGCACTAATTATTTTTTCTTCCCAACGAGCTGTGTATACTATATATATATATTTAAGTGGCAAGCAATAACGGTTGCCAATCTTCTATAACAGAGATCGAGTATGCTCGACAACAATGTTGGCCCGAATACCGATGCTTAGGCGCTGCGCGTATATAGTTACACACAATTGTAAATCTAGTATATGATACGCGCAGTGCGCGGGGACATTATATATCGGTGCTCGCAACTCGTAATGGGCTTGTTGTGTACGTCAATGCTCATCTTCGCGCGGCATTTCTGCCTCTCTCTCTCTGTCTCTACACACGCGACACAATAGCGCAGGTAAACTATTGTTTCAGCGGTTATGTGTGTTCATTGGTGCCGCTCTCGCCCGGAACCAGGTGTAAAAATGCGAAAATGCGATGCTAATGTGCTCCGATTGCCTCGCGCTCCTGCCTCAATGACTTTATACCCGAGAGCTGTAGCACGTGACTGTGGCTGCTGTTGCGGGTATGAATTACGACTCTATCTACGCGTGGGCAGTCTGAAAATGTGTGACGTCAAAGGTCTGCACTGTTGCCTGCAACTGTATCAATTTCACGCAAATTTCTTTCTCTTTTCACCAAAGCAATTTTCATATTGATCGAAAGGATAAACTAGATTTTGACAGTTGCATACCGCAAAAACAATTGGGATTTCCTTATAAAACTCGTGACGTATCAAATCGAGGTGTTCAGTGTAGAAATAGTTGTTATTTAGATGATTCTTCAATAATTAACATCAATGAAAAATATATAATTGACGAGTGCGAAAATAATGCGTTTTTTAACGCTATAAGTATAAGCTATAACATATTTCATAGTGCAGTTTGAATATAAAAATAAAATGATTGCAATGTTTGCCGGATTAATATTACTAATTCAAATTTTATTAAACATAATGTTTTAAAGTTGTAATAAATAAGCTGTAATTGGTAATATTAGCATAGTAAATATCAGTTATACTAGCCAACTCGTTTGTAATCAATGGTGCTGAGTAAAACAAATGGAGTATTTATGCGTGAGTGATTTTCATGCTGCACTAATGAGCCGTAAAAAGTCAGCCGATATCGAATCGATGAATTCAAATAATAAAATGTCTTGTTACATGTACATATTTATGCACCAGATGAACAAAATTCCAAACCAGTTTTCGGGCTTCGAACTTACATTATCGAACAAAAATGTGCAACTGACCTGCAGGCAGAGCTTTCTGCTCCCTGGGAAATGCATTATCGAAAAGAGCTTTGGTCCACGTGCGCACCAAATCCTGCTTGACGTCGCTCGGCGAAACTCGATTCTCTTCGCAAGAAGCAAGTCCGATAAGAGTCAGTAAGAGAAGAACGCAGAGCAAGGGCCACCGCGTTGCTGCCGTGCTTCGGTACATTTTGACACTCGTGTTCGCGTATCGATTCCGTAGATCGTTTACTTTTCACTCTCGGGTGGCACGGGAGGTTTTTTTTTTATTTTTTTCTTCACTGGACCAGGAGGCAAATGGGTCGACACTCTCTTTTTCTCTCTCTCGGCTCACTCCGTCCGTTTCGTGTAGCGGTCGAATTTGAACTTGTGCCGCTGCTGAAGCACACGACCGGCGATGCCTCGGTGGCTTGCGTTCTCTCCCGCACACGCGCTCGCTCCATTCCGCACGCGGGCCTTCCAAACGTCGCCTGTGTGTGTGTGTGTGCATATGCGCGCGCGCTCGCGATCGGTCTCGTACAAGCTTTAGAAAGTTGTCCTCCCTCTTCTTTCCTTTCCGCTTTTATATTATCTCTTACAGCTTTAGTATTTACCATCTTATATGTACCAGGCTTTAGGTTATTTTTGGCTCGTCGAATAATAATTGTGACTGATGTGACGCGTGGTCCAAATTTTTTTTTCTCGAAACGTGCCCCCTACTCTTTACGAGTTTTACGTGATATTAAAGCTGCATTTGCTTAACAGTTTGGCGTGTGCATGCTAATGCCGCTGCTGCAGGAAGTCGATTGGGCATGCGACTGCAGCAGGCGCAGCTTTGATAATCCGTTCACGTTATGGGTCACTTCTATTGTATACTTACTGCGCTTTTATTCATGCCATTCATAAAATGTGTACCAGGAGCTCATCGTTATTCTTACGCTGGGCATGATTTTTAACCTACATCGGGGATAACAAATAATTATCATGTATCGTTCGGAGACAACGTTCGATGTACTATAATTTTAACCGCTACAGGTGCATTTATAAAACTTAATGCAACACTGTATAGTTTTATTATTACTAATAATAATTTTCAGTTCCAATACAATGGACTTTAATATAAATTTTCTGGTTACAATGGAATATTAAATTGCGATTGAAGATAAATTTAATCTGAATTAAACAAATAAATTTATATATTTAACGATTATTTAAAACTAAGCATGATTTCCTATATTTAACTTGTATAAGTTCATTGGTTTTTATCCAAGATAGCAATTGTTTCAAGTCAAACTATTTGCCATAAAAAATGTTCAAAAGATGAAAATAGAGAAGAAACAGTACATTTAAAAAAGGAAAAACGTTAAAGGTCATAAAAAAACCAGCTTCAAAAATTTTATGGTTATTTTACATACTATTATTACATACGTTTCTTTACGTTGCTTCACGTACGTTATTTTACTTACTACTTCACATGCAATAATTTTTCAAATTCACCATTATAATTACTACACTGATCACTGTTATTTTTATATCTACTCATAATTCATAAGTCATAATTTGATTTTTGCAAAATTACCCAAACCATTCTTTTTTACCAAAGCAAATAAAACTGTAGAAAAGAGACGAGTATTTATATCTTATTTATACATGGTTTATATTGTTTTATGTATATTCAAATAATTTGTATTTAAAAAAAAACATCGCTATCCACAAAAATTAATTTAATGAAAGTTATTATTTTTTTAGAAAATCATAAGATAGGCGTAAAAGAAAGGAGTATTTAATGGAATTATAAAATAATAATTATTTCTTTCATGCATAGAGTCAAGGAATTGTCATCAAGCACTATTTTCAAGATGTGTTTGCTCGTCGTTCATTGGCCTCTACAGTGCTTTATCCGACCCTGACCCTTCGCTGTTACGTAGATGGTAAGTGAAGAGCAGATACTAGGTACAGGTTTACAACTTCTTATTTTCACAGCATGCTCACTTACTTGCAACGAGGAGACGAGAAAAAAAACGCAGACGTGCAAAAATAAAAAGAGAAAATGAAGTGGGAGAGGGAAATGTGTTGATATAAGTACTGCGAGTGTATGACTCCGAGTGTCTCGAGAAAAGTAAAATACAACTGCAAACAAGAATGCCTTGATTTTTTATCATACGCATTTATAAAAGTCAAGGTTTTAAAAGTTAAATACATTGTTAACGATGTCTAAGTTGTAATTTAATGTTTACGGTCGGGATTCAACAATTTTTTGCTAGTATGTTAGACCACACGAATTGAATTGTAAAATAAAATTTCATTTCGTGAATACTTCTAACAATATCGATCGTAAAATATAACTGGAATTCCTCTGAGTAAACTGCCTATTAATATGTAAATGTAAAATTTACGGAAATTTTATAAGAACCCACGCCATAGATTATTTATTTATACTACTTTGGAGTCGCCTTGAACGCCAAGCTATATCTGCGCCGCTCGGCTCTAAGGGTTTTAAAGACGACGAGAAGAGAAAAATACAGATTCCTTTTGCTGCTGCGCGTCTAGAGAACAAGTCCTGCTTGCTGCAAGGCATGTACTCCACAACTCGTTCGGTTGGTTCTTATGGAGGTATAAGTACATCGGGGCAAGAGGAGGACTCGCGCACATAGCTAGCTAGGGTTGGTAGAAAAGCATCGACTGGTCGGCAAAGTGCAACATTCGCTCTGCGGCCGCAATCATGAGAGCATTCGTCTTTTCTCGGATATTCTTCCGTAAACTAAATATTTATTTTATAGCTTTTTGTTATTTCGTTTGCATAGTAAATTCGAGATGCGAGGCGCGCTTTGTGCACGACGACGTCGCTGCTGCTGGTGTCGCGAAAATCGGCTCGCTCGAAGAAACTGGATCGAAGAGCTTCGTGACGACTATTGACTTGCTCGGCGATAAAGAAAAAAGTGTTGATAGTGGCGTCGTCGGTGCCAGTGAGACGAAACTCGAAGACAAAAGTGAAAATATTCGTGTGAAAGAGCATCTTCCCGCTGCTTCGAGGGCTAGAGAGAACGTACGCTTGGGAGAATTGGAGGAGACGCTGAATAAAAAAACTCACAAATCCGAGGTGAAGTCGCACAAAAGATTCGACAAGGTCCCGTTCAGAAAATTCAAGCGGAGCATACACGAAAAAGATCACCAAATATTTCAAATAGCTCAACATGTCACCGAGTCGGAAGACCCCAAAAAAGTTACTAACATCGAGCCATTGGAGCAACTCAAAAGTGTCAATGTAGATGGAATACGTCGCTTAGACGTTGACGTCGAACAAGGTGGTAAACAAAGTACTCGAGAAATTTCAACGACCGAAGACAAGGTAAAAGAAATTAAACATGAACCCGAATCGTCAGAAAAGAAATTCCATTTGAAGAAAATTGCAATTGGAGATTCTGACAATTCGAAAATTATTGATAATATTAAAGAAACAAGTATTAGCGATTCGCAAACTCATGATAGTGTGACTTTAAAAAAATCAGAAATAAATGAGCAAAATATTGATTTGAAAGAAACCGTTTCTTCTAACTCAAAATCTAACGAAAAAGAATTAGAACAATCTGATCCAAATTTGATCCAACAACAGCCTAAACACGATGTCGTTAACATTGAAAGTCGTGCTGGAGTTTTCCGACAAAATATTCAAAAACAAATGTCTGAATTCTTGCCTAAAGTACCAAAACTCTCGGAAAATCAATTTTTGGAATTATTAAAATCTATATTTGCGAAAAAAAATATTAACGAAGAGGATAACGAAACAATAGATATCAAAGGATTGAGCCCCATTCAGCAAGAAGTTATCAAGTGCGCTCAACAGCTCGTTGCTCAAAAAGAAAGAAAATCATTTACAGATAATATAACAGAATGTATGAAAGGATTCAACATACTCAATTGCATGCGCATATTTGTTTATCCTGTCATTGTGCAGTATATGCCTGAAGCAGTTAAAGGCTTGGAATCGAAATTTCCTCTAGAGGTCAATATCCCTGAATTACTTCAGGGTAATCGCGACAAGATAAAATCAGCCAGGCAAGTTCCACTCCCGAACATTTATTCGAACAATCTTGACCCTGATATGGTAATTTACGACATGCTGATGGAAGGTTTGTTGAAAACTTCTTCTGGTGACAATTTTTACTCTTATATCAATGAAAAAAATGAAACTCTATCGAAGATTTTGACGTGCAATCGCATGAAACTGCTAACAATGACTGAACAATTTTTACCGGAAAACGAGAGGCCAAATTACTCGAATCAAATGATTTCCTGTGTAAAACGTTTCGAATACTTTAGTTGCTTAAAGTACTTTTCATGGCCGACAATCAAACGTCAATACCCGACGTTGCCGCCATTTCCATTGAGTGATACGTACTTATCGTCACTTACCAATCCAGGTTATCCTCTTATCATTTATCCCGGATCAGAGAACGAACTTCCAAACTTGCCAGAAGTCATAGAGTCCAGACAAATGACTCCTGACTCTATCATTAAAGGAATTCTTCAGAGAACTTTATATCAGTATCCAAGAGTAGCAACTCCCTTTGCCCCATTACAATTTAGTATTTTTGCAAAAGGAATTCCATTGAGCTACGATCAAATGCTTTCCCTGCATTTTGCTGAACAATTACTACCATTGAATTTGCGGTCCGAGTATACTTCGAGAACTACCGAATGTATCAGGAGATTCGATTTCTATAACTGCATGAAATATTCTTCTTGGCCTCTTCTCAGACAATTTAATCCGACACTTCCAGAATTCCCCAATTTCAATGAAATTTTTGGTAATTTCCAAATACCAGATATACCACTGATCTCGAGTTTCTTTAACTTCTTTTCGCAATTCCAATTCCCACAGTTCGAATTCCCATTCCAGATTCCGAATTTCCCTGCTTTTGCCTTGCCTGACTTTACTCAGTTTATTCCTGGACAAGTTCCGTCGACTCCCAAGCCACCGACCATTCCCGAAGCCCCTTCACCACCGGCGATTCCTGACGCCCCTACCGCACCAACTGCGCCTACTCCACCAACTGCACCCACTCCACCGACTTATACACCACCTACGTACACGCCACCTACGTATACGCCACCTACGTATACACCGCCTACTCCACCTACGTACACTCCACCAACATATACTCCGCCTACGGCACCCACAGGTACTGTGCCTTCCTTCACTCCACCTTCGGTGACACCACCTTCGGTAACTGCACCTTCGATAAATCAACTGAAATCGGAAGCTGGTATACCAAACGTTGCGCAGTGGGAATATCAAATCTATAATATTTTGAAGGATATTCGTTTATCCATGGGAGCAACACCACTGTCGACGCCATCATATACGAATAGGAAAATTTTCTTATTTCCTCTGATGACGGAAGAACAGTCGAAAATATTTGCTTTGGCTGAAAGCATCGTTCCACCAATAGCTCGTGAGCCAATGATAACTAGTATTTACTTCTGTCTCAACAATAAAAATTCATTTACAACGTGCACAAAAAGTATCATATGGCCATCCATCAAGACCTATGTGAAAGGATTTCCCGAATTTCCTGAAATGAGCTTCGTTCAAAAACAGCAAGGCTCGATATCTGATTCGAAAGCTTATGCGTTTGGAAATGATGATAATTTCTTTGTTATCAGAGAGTTGGAAAAAGCATTTTTCGAAGGCCGAGAAGATGCTATGAGTTATATAATCAGATCCATTCAGATGACCGCTCCGGAGGACTTCAATTATAAAAAAATGCTTGAAATTTTGAGATCGATTCAATTTAAAACGCAAGACTTCACCGATAACCAGTTGATTATGTATCCCAGAATACAAGAATATTCTAGTATAACGGAAAATCAGGAGAATATAATTCACGCAGTGGAAAGCATCATACCAGAAAATATACGATTCAGATTCAACAAAGATATGATTGATTGCTTACAAAATAACAAATTTTCTATATGTTCGAAAAATATAATCTATCCTGCTTTGTATCCTAAATTTCAGAACATATTTTCTACTTCGTATACAAACCCGATGGCAGAAAAACAAGATTACGATATGAAAAGTTTGAACCACCCTGGCATTTACTCAGAAAGAAAAGAAATGATCCCTGGGTCAGAAAAAATTGGAGAAAATTTTGAAATAATTGGCGAAAAATTGTATCCAGATAACCCGGAATCGATTATACTTGAAATGCTGCGAAAAGAACAAGTTTCATTGCCATCTTTACCAGAACCACCGAAGGAATCTATAAATTACAATCCAGAATTCGAACAAGCCTTCAACATAAGACAAGCCTACATATTAAAAACAGCTGAACTCATTTTGCCAGATGAATATCGCAGAGGAATATTAGAAGAAATGTACAGTTGCAATCAGAAAGAATCATTTTTAAATTGCGCTCGAGATATTCTTTTCCCGGGATTGAAAAAAGCTTACTCAAACTTCCCAGATTTTCCAGATATTCAAAAAGATCTCGACCGAACACGCATGTTGGAAATCGTGAGCAGTATTGAAAATCCTACTATGTCATTGAAAATTGATTACAAAAAAAGAACATTACCTCACCTAGATGATTTGTTTAAATTCGTCTCCGAAGATAAAAGCGAGAACTTACAAATATTGATTGATAAACTACCGGATACTTTGTACTATAATTTGTACGTAAAAATGGTTCAATGTAATAAATTTTCCGACGGAATTTCATGTGCACATGATATCGTCTATCCAGCATTGAAACAATACTATGACGCACCTAATTTCGATTTGAATAAATACTACCCAATAGATGCCAAACCAGTTTTATACGCAGCATCAGAATTTCAGTATGGAAAATTGGACTATGAAATTATTTGCAAAAACATGGACTTTTCATGCTATTTAGTACCTTTTGGATCTCAGCATGTCGAAGCTCTCCCGAATTCAGACGTTCCTCCGAGCGTGCCTAAAACATCTTACATTCCTTTTGGAAAATTGAACGCAGACAGCCGCATATTCAAACAAAGTCAAGAGATATGGATTCCTCAAAACACACCGTCAGTAGGTGAACATTTTTCTCTAAAATAATTGAATTCAACATATTTTTCATTCATAAATTGAATTTAAGTTTCAGGAAAAACAGAATTCTTAAATGAATCATCAGCCAAGTACGTTCACAGTGATATTTTGAAAAAGTTGAACCCATTGGCAAGAAAAAAACGTGATGTTGATGATTTACTTGATTCATATCCAGATACAAATCCAGATAGTAACAAAAATTCGGTTCCACGACGTATTCCTACGGAAATAACATTTCCAAATGTGACTGAAGAAGAGTTGATAAAAATTTTAAAAAATATTTTAGAAAATAAGAAAAACCACTCATCTACCGAACTGCGTCTTTCACCTGTAGACTACTTTGTCGATTCATTAAATGATACTGAGAAAGCTTCACTCACAGCAAATCAATACGAAATTTTAAAATTAATCCAAGATATAAATCCAGAAACTGCCAGAGCCAGTTTTATGTGGCAGGTATTTAAATGTATTCGCAGCCTAAGCTTTATTCGGTGCGTGGGAATATTTGTTTGGCCAATGATTCAAAGTAATCTACCCTTTTCCGGTGCGGGCAATAAAGCTCGAAGAGCTCGCATAGAACAAGAAATGCAGGTTCAAAAAATTTTCGGATTATCTACGTCGTCTTTAGAAGAAGAATTAATGAATCGTAAACAGCAAATCGAATCAAACTTTATTGAACTATACAAGTCATTAACCGAAAGTTCATACGAAACAAATTTAGGTCCAATGAATATTAAAAGTCAAGGAAATGGAGAATTTGCCATAACTTTTTCAAACTTCCGTCAGAGTAGAATTTCAAAAATCAAAGATAATAAAAATGTACCCAACATATTGACATTTATTGGTGATATTATTGAAGAGGTGTTTGACATGAAAAAAAGCAAAACAAAAATTAAAAAGGAAGCTGTAAGAAAAAATAAACGAGATCGTAGCCTTTACTCGGCAGAAAAATCGAATATCGATGGTCGTTACGAAGATCCTTTACGCTTGACGAAGGATGACGAAGTCATTAGTATTTTATTAGAAAAACTCCGACCTACTGTAACGGACTATAAAAATGAAGAAGTAAGACACTATTTGGACATCGAAGATGCTTTCAAAGCTTTCGAGGTTCTTTTTGGACCGAAGTTCAGTGGCGAGTTGACGAATAAATTGAAAAATATCAATACGGAAGATTTTAAAAAACTAGTAACATTCAGAATGGTCGATAAGTCAAACACCCCTACTGTAAATGAATTTACCAATAATTTCCATAGAGAATCATTGGTTAAGCCTTCAAGTCAGAGTAGAGCGATCAGTGAATCGAGTAATCATGATTTCAGTAAAAATTTCACATCTCCGGGAAATTTATCAAAATTAAAGGCATTTTTACAAGAATACATGGAGAAATCTCCAAATACCAATAAAAATTTCGTTCAGGGCAGTATGATACTAAGGGTTCCGAGATTGACCGACGCAATAGAAGAAAAGAAAGCCACAACAAATTTGGAGGAACTACGCAGAGATTTAAAAAGTAAAATGCAGTCAATGATGCCGGCAGCTGGCTTAGCTACCTCCTTATTGATACAGTTAGCATTAGCACACGCCAAAGCCGCAGCATCGGTTGCTGGATTATTAAGTAATATGGCTCTTGGAAGCGCAATGCTCGGTATGTTGAGGGACATGATTTTCGGCCAAAATACTGAAGCCAAAGTAAAATATGTGTATGAAACTGAAAAGCATGACTCCGACTTGGCTTGGTCGCCGCATAAATCTGACCCAACAATAAGTTTTACTCCTCCGCCCGGGCAAATTTATCCATATCCCCATCCTAACTATTAACAATAGTTTACTATAAATTTTTACTTTAGTTCGTATTTTTAGAAATACTCATTATTTTACTTTAAAATATAATACTCTACGGATACGATAACTTATGCGATCATATAAAACAGTGAAATTCAAAATGTTAGAATTCATTTTTTGAGGGAATTGAGACTGAATTAAACAATAATGCAATAATGATGCATTTCTTAATTTATAAATAAGCTCATCTACTAAAATATTTTACAGGCTTACAGAAATGAGTAAAATCTTTACAATCGGTGGAGGGAATGCCAATGTGTGATACTTTTAATTTTTTCTTGTTTTTATATATCAACTCAATTTGATAGAATAAATGAAGTAACTTTTTTCTTAAAACTATTACTTAAAAATTTACCTAAGTTACTCACTTATATTTTAGAATTTTAATTGTAAGTTTTTAAGTTACAATTATATCCCAAAAATATTGTATCTTTAATATTACATGTATATTTATTAAAATCTCAAATGAAATAAATAAAAAAGAATCAACAAAAATTTTTAATTGAATATGCTTCTCTTAACTTTTGAAATAAAAAAAAAAAACAGAATTTCATTTTCAACTATGTAATGAGAAATTAATAAAGTTCCGAGGGTTTCAATCGACCTTTGATAGGGTTAAATCCTCACAATCATCTCATAAATAACACGTAGAAAGATAGTTTTAATAGCGATAATCTGAGGAAGAAATTGAAGGTAAAACTGTGCTAATATTTGAGTTTATGCATAATAGGTAAGAAATTTTTTTTAAAGGTAACGACAAAAGGAATAACGATTTGAAATATTTTTTTATTTTAAATATTTTCTGATTACGCAGCTTACTCTAGTAATTACAGAAGTTTTTATTGTGTAGAAAATTCTTGGGACTAATCTCATGCACCTAAAGCTTACTCCGATAATGTACTGCATTTATGAGAGATTCAAGGTGACTTTTTCTGTCAAATGATTTGTGATGATATATCACATTTGAAGGGTTTGCTACGATCACTTTCTATAGTTGTGTCTAGCAAGATTTCTTTTTTGTCCAAATAATTCGTCACCATGCTCGAAGGGATTGCTCTGATGATGTACTACACTGATGTATTTATTGAGATTACTCTTATCTGACAATGATTTGTGACAAAGCTGACATTCAAAAGGTTTGTTCCGATGATGTATTTTGTTGACATGACATATGAGGTTATCTTTCCTTCCAAGTGATTTGTGACAATTCTCACATTCAAAGGGTTTGCTCAGATCATGGACTGCACTTTTGTGTCTTTTGAGATCCTTTTGGTATCCAAATGATTTGTGACAAATCTCACATTCAAAAGGTTTGTTCAGAAGATGTAGTTCGTTTACGTTATTTAAATAATTAGTTAAAATTCGTTTTTCTATTTTCACTAACGGTTGACAACTTTGATACTTAGATTTGAAGATGGCCATTGAACATAAAGGAACTAGAATTTCATTATAACTACACTAAAATTGCTATGAAAATTATATTTATAGAAACACTCTATTTCTGTACAGAGAAGGTCGAAAATTTCGACTCGAAATAGGCAGAGAAATATTCACACAAAAAAGAAGTATAAATTATAAATCTATATCGTTTTTTTGTGATAACCTTTATCAACTTGTTAAATACTTTTTTTTACAGGGTTGAAGTCATATTTTGAAATATTATTTTCCGAGAAAATTCGTTCTTTTGAAAGAACTACACCATTTTTGATGTGAAACATCTATATTCGCGTTTGGTGTCAGGGGTAAACCCGTAAAAACCGAGCGTCCGTCCGTCCGTCCGAGCGAGCGCAACTTTGGTAGTAGAACTGCCTATACAGCGTCGGTTTGCGCTACGCGCTGTGATTGGCTGCCGCGCCAGCTACAGAACTGCTTTCTGCTGCTGCCCGCTGCCGAGACTCGACGCGCGTATGCCTGTGTTTACGTATACGCACGAGGCAACGTAACAGCATAAGCAACAGCAGTCGACTCAGCTCACGGGATTGACTGCGTTGAGATATCTTTCTCTCTCTTGCTTATGCGTATCGCTCATTCATATAATACGTATGTGTTGTCTATGCATGTACGTCGCGAGACTATGCACTATCATACACGTTGTCAAATCTGATACTTATTACTGCATGTATGTATACGTGTCTATGAGTGTGTTTCTTCTTAAGGGAAGTCGAAATTTTTATCATGTTATATTAAGATACAACGAACGTTGATAGCTCAATGCACTAATTTGATTAATAAAACAAATTGAAAATTGAAAAAATTAAAAAAAATCAGCTGTTTATGAACAGCTGCAAGATGTGAAACATCTTTATCAATTAATTAAAAAAAATTGAAAAATTTTAAAGTAATCGAACAAGTAAGAGTCGAAACAAAAAAAGAAGTAAAAAATTAAAAACAAATTAAAACTTGAAAAATCAAGAAAAAATCAATTTAATACAAAAATCTAAAATCAAACAAGTAAAAAGTAAGAAAACAAAAAAACAAAAAACATGAATCAAAAAAACGAGAAAATCAAGAAAATCAAGAAAAGGGAAAGTCAGAAAATCCCAACACAAGCATCGATGTTTCACACCTGGTGCGCTAAAGCTGGAGAAACTACTCTGATTACTTAACTCAATGAGAGGGAACGATTTGAAGAATAAGCACGCATTGATAATGCACCAGATGTGAAACATCGATGCTTGTGTTGGGATTTTCTGACTTTCCTTTTTCTTGATTTTTCTTGATTTTCTCGTTTTTTTGATTCATGTTTTTTGTTTTTTTGTTTTCTTACTTTTTACTTGTTTGATTTTTTTTACAAAAGGACTGGCAAATTTTTGCACGATATTTCATCAATTAGAAATAGGTCAATGTCTTATTTTACTACCATTTCATTCATTAAAATAGGAATTATCACATTTTCACGAGCTAAGTAGTTTGCTTATACATTAGAAATATGATTTAATTGATTACAATTAGTTTTTAATAATTAAAAATATTCTTTATTAATCATAATTAATGTTAATTATTAATGGCGATATATATGGCATTAATGGCTATGTTTAATGAACATGAAATAGAAAATTTTAAATTAATAAACTATTCACACTACTTTTGTTACTGATTTTCATTAAAAAGTTAAGATAAAACTAGAAATAAGTACCCGCAGGTATGCATACAACAATTCTCGTCAATATGACATCTGGTGAAAATGTGATAAACGAATCAATTCTTCTCATTCACTTACCATACGATCATTGCAACTCTGCTCTTCGGGTAAATGCGGTAAAGCATAATTATAACATCGCCGCGATGAAAAAGTGAAAACCATACATGGTAATGTTAAACAAAGCAGCAGTAAGATGTCGCTTCTAGTACACATTCGGCGCGCTCTTTCGGTGCCGATTCAAACACTGCAGATGCCTCTCACCGAGTCGTTACACGTGTATACCCGGTGGTATAATATTGCATGTACCTGGCAAAATCTACACTTTCACCAATATGGGATATATACACCTTTTCTTGTATACTCTCTGTACACTTATTCTATTTCACAGCTGCTCACAGCTGTTCTTGTTCAACATCTTTTAAACGTAAAAATTTGAACTTTTAAGTCGAATGATTTTTATGTTTATTTTTTTAAATGTCAGTCTTTATGCTCCGTAAAGATCATTCGAATCATTAGCAATGTGTGACAGGTAAGAGCGCGGCACGAGTATATATATATATATATATTGTATATAAATGGAACGTGTGTAGGAGCAAAAGTATGAAAGTATGCCTCTCTCTCTTTCTCTCTTTACGGATCGACATTAGATTGTTGTGAGCGGCACAGTAGCTTTGCAACAGCGGACAGCAACAGTTTGCTGAACGCCGCTGACGCGATAGCACTGCTTATAAAACCTTCTCTTTTTTTCCTTCTCTATACACTGACGTCCTCACGATTTTGCGTGTCCAATCAGTTGATCGCGAGCCGAATCGGCGTTTCGGTCCGGCATTGGCCGGAGAACAGTTTTAAATAATGTTCCAATCTGTGGAGGCTGTAGCAGCGTCGCGACTCGAAATACCTCCTCAGTCGAGGTCGTCGACTGCGTGATATTTCGGCAGTACCTGCTTTTTTTCACGGCTACGAAGCGGAAGATGCCTGTGGCTGTCTCAATTTAAATCAGGTAATTCCAAAATTCTTCAATTTGTTTCATAAATACGAATGAATGGTTTGATAAACAAATGAGAATTATTTGACAAACAGTGAAACTATAGTTGACCAGTATAGTAATTGTTCCTAGTAATTCGTATTCAATTTTCCACATGACGTTTTAACAGAAATATCAACAAACATTTCCTCGCTAATAGTATACTTATATTTTCCTTATTCATTGACCGACGTGTTAAAGCATTAGTAAATAATTGTAGTTCATAAAACGCAAACTTTCATTTTGAAAGGCCATTGTCAAATTATGAATGAGGGTGTTGTATTCAAAGAGCAACATGAATCCCTTTCTAATTGTGGTGCATGAATGCTTCATCGTACGCACGTGTGAAAAATTTAGTTTCCTTTATAGCGAACAGGTTCATGCTCTATACAAGCGTGATAATGCAACCAGAATCGTGAGAAGGTGAAAATGAAAGTGCACGGTAGATATACAATTTTCTTCATTGTTTTTGACATTATAATTCCATTAAATACAGATGAAAAGCCAAAGATTCGGATCGTCGCGCCAGTCTCGCGATTCTCTGCACACTTGTGTGTTTAAAGACAGAATAAGCTCATGTTTTTTTTTACTCGTTTTGTATTTAAAATTACAAAAGGTGTTTTACTCGGTGCGTATATGAAGTGTAAGCTAAATCGGCCGTGATTTATCGCTTGAGTGCTGTCCCTAGCTTTGTTTGAAGTTTCGCAATACCAATTTATTGTATAGTATACACTCCTTTCAAAGTGCAATAGCCAATATTATGTATGCACGTAAGTAATGATTACCTCGTGCATAGAAACGAGTCGTACAATAAAATTATACTTAATTGATGCAAATTCAGTATTATTATCATCGTATAAATAGCTGTTTAATATGAATTTTTAAATTGTAAAGTATTAAACAAATTGAAAAATTATCTTTCCAAAAACCAACTAAATAGAGAGTGACTCGCTTCGAAAGGCTTTAATTCTTTCGTAAAGAGAGAGTGGATATAGCTGATGAAAACGTTATAAACGTATTCGTGACTTCATCGCGTCATAAATAAGAGCTGCGACCATTTTTTTCGAATGAAATTGTGAAATGCGCGTGCTAGATTCATTTCCATTGAAAAATGTTGTTTTGATGAAAAAGAAACGATAACTTTACCTCAACGCCGAATAAGGTTTTGCAATTTTATATCCTTATAAAGTGAGATGCAGCACGTTCGGTATCGCGGCTGAACACCAAAGAGAAGATACCATCGTAGTACCGATCTATGACTTGTGAACTGCGCGAGATCACGGAAACTCAAAATTACTTCTGTGCTCGTGCAGTTCAACTAATTTTTCATTTCATTTGAATCATCAGCGCTAATTAAATCAAAATTTATATTGTTGTTATACTTAAATTTTTTTTTGAATATTGGAGTAACCGTTATCAATACGTATTCAATAAAAAATAATGATTACTTACTTGAAAAATCATAGTAACTTGTATTTTTGACTTACAGCAAAATGCTTCTGTTGACAATTTTGGTGGGATGTATTCTTCCAGCTCTTGGTGGATACATTCCACCAGGGCCGCGGTATTCTTGCCCAAAGAAAAGCGCTTACATACATCCTTGCACGTGTGTACGTGCAGATGACCAAGGTCTCTACATTGAATGCGAAAACTCGAATTTAGCCACTCTGAGTGTAGCCTTTATCAACCTTGGCAACGAAGGCATACCGATCGAAGAATTGAGACTTATTAAGTGTAACATAGGTATAACTCGAGGCTTTATATTTCAATTATAATTTAGAAGAGTCAAATTAATTCTAAAATGATACCAATTTTTCAGCACGTTTTTATGGACCAGCATTGTATCCTTTAAATGTGAGGATCTTGAAGTTTTTGGACACTCCGTTGAGGCACATTGAAGATCACAGTTTTCTCGGGGTAAATAGAACTTTGCAAGAACTTCATATGACAGGAACCATGCTTGAGAAATTTCCCAAGGAAGCTATGAAAATTTTGGGAAATCTCACCGTGCTCAACATAAGAGGACACAAGGTAGAGGAATTGCCCTCCGATATTTTTATCGACAGCTATGCTGTGTGGAAATTAGAAAGATTAGAATTTAGTAATGGTAAGTACATTATTAAGAGTATAAATTAAATTATTTCATGCAATCATATTTTAATGAAACGTTTAAACTATTAGGTAGTCTTAACTCTTTGCCGGTTGATTCTTTTACCCCTTTGAAAAAACTCAAAAATCTCGATTTGCATGGAAATCATATAAAAGATCTGAAGAAAAACCAGTTCAAAGGCTTGCGTGACGTTGAAGCTTTGGACTTATCATACAATCTAATCGACAAAATCGATCAATCTCATCTTAGCGATCTTTCAAAGATGGGATTTCTCAATTTATCAAATAATGCCATTTCCGATCTAAAGAGGTAACGTATCTATTTCAAGTTTTTCATTGTTGCTTGAATAAATTAATCGAAAATGGCAATTGAAAATTTTACAGAGGCACATTCTCAAGAAATTCATTGTTAAAAGTCTTGAATCTGAACAGCAACAAGATTAAGAAACTAGATTCGAACACTTTCCGAGGATTACGACTGATGAGGCGCCTTTACTTGCGAGATAATCGAATAGCAGATGTGGGGCGAGGAACTTTTAGTACCATGACGAGAATCGGAACAATAGATTTAGCTAAAAATATGATTAAAAAAGTAGATTACAATATGTTTTATCAACTGAATTATGCAGAGGTACCTAAATTGCTAAAATTTTATCTTGTGAAATAGATCTGTAACGAAACTCATGAAACTTTTTTATTTAATTTTTTACAGATAATAGATGTATCTGAAAATCAAGTGACAGTCGTTGAAAAATTAGCCTTTAAAGATTTGTTTTCGGCATCAGTAAATTTATCGCACAATGCAATAAGTAATATTGAAAGTGGTGCTTTCGAAAACTGTGTAAATATATTAACTTTAGACTTAAGTCACAATAAATTAGAAAATATATCAAAAACAGCGTTCGATACAGCGACTTACGCAAGTACCTTACAACTTAGCTATAATTATCTGACTTCGTTGATTCAAGTGAGTGACAATATTTCATTTATTTAAAAAAGTGTTTCTTGAATCTTTTTCATGAAATAATTTTTGCAGGTACCCTTGCACAACATGACCGGTTTGAAAGTATTGAACGTATCACACAATCATCTTCGTTCGGTACCCAAAGGAACCTTTCCAAAACTCTACGAGCTTCACACAATCGACTTATCGTACAATAACATATCCGACATTTATAATACAATTTTTATATCGTTATTCAGTTTGAGGACATTGAATTTGTCTCACAACGCTATGGAAAGAATCAAGTCTTCGACTTTTGGAGATTTACCAACTTTGTTGGATTTAGATTTAAGTTACAATCGTTTGACCGATGTTTCTTCGGGAGGCTTCGCTAAATTAGCGAGTTGCAGGTCAGTTTACTTCAGCAGATGGCAAACGCTGTATTTTACGAGCGTGCTCGAGAGAAATTTAATTGAATAACTTTTTAGGGTACTTTCTGTGAAGCATAATCAATTGACGAAAATATTCCAAATACCGATATCAGTTGGACACATCGATTTTTCTGAAAATTTGTTAGAAGAAATACCGACCACAGAGGTTTGGCCATCGATGAATTCTTTACTTCACCTAGATTTGTCAAATAATAGATTGGGTGACCGTCTCCAACATGGGAGTTTTCAAAGTTTACTTACTCTCAGAACGTTGAATTTGCAATCAAATGGTATCAGTAAACCACCTTGGGAGGCCCTAAGTACCTTGACGAGTCTCCAATACGTTTATTTGCAGGTAAAAGATTGAAAAATTATTTAATATTCATTACAATTTACTTAGCCCGCTAATTGAACCGATATTTTTTTGTAGTACAATAATATTACGCAATTGAATAAAGCAGCTTTCGGCAAATTACCAATTGTATTCGAGCTTAATCTTGCCTACAATCAAATTCAAAATGTCAGTGAGCGCGCTTTCGAAGGGCTTCTTCAGCTTATAACCCTGAATCTTACCAGTAACGATATTCAACACATTCCGAATGGAGCATTCAGAGGACTTGTATCTCTCACAACCTTGGATCTCTCACACAATCAGCTTGAAAAACTGGATAACAAAACCAATGGCTTATTGGACGATTGTTTATCTTTGGAAAGAGTTTACCTTAATCACAATAAAATTGCAGCTGTAACGCCCAAAACCCTGCCTCATGATCCATGGATTCCATATAAAATAAAAGAGGTCGATCTTTCGTACAACTTATTGTCAATTTTGAACTTTGATTTGACACTAGGAACGAAAAAAGTAGTTTATATGAATTTGAGCCACAACCAGATTAGTGAAATAAGAAGATGTGAGTGAAAAATAATTATATTTGAAAATCACACGGCTGTACGTTATAGTAACAAATAAAATATTTTTCAGATGTTTTAGGAAATATGACAGACTTACAAACTTTAGATTTATCGTACAACGAAATATCAGATTTATCTGAGCCTGATGTTTTTATGCCGCCGCAAAATTTGACAAATTTAATTTTTAATCACAATCGGTTTCATAGCCTCCCTTGGAACAAAATCATAACCATGCCAAATCTAAAAGTTTTGGATTTAAAATTCAATGATTTCAATGCTTTCGATGAAAACATAATGACAATTTTAAATAATGGCACAATAGTTGAATACGATGGTAGGTTTTATTTTGTCGAATGAAAAAATTATTACAATATAGAGTAAGTTATGAACTCTTGCTTTGCTTTTTAGGTAATCCACTACATTGCGATTGTTACGTGCGACCGCTACGAAGATGGTTCGACACATTCACTGAGATTCCTGCAGAATGGACCAACATCGAATGCGCAAGCCCCAGCTACGTGGCGGATCTGCGTTTATCGGACATTTCAGAGGTTTTACTGAGTTGCAGTGATACAGAAGTCTTGGAGGATCCACGATACGATTTAACTCCTGACGTCAAGTATCGAGATCTTGAATAGTAAGTTTGCAAATAACCATTCTAAAGATGTTTTAAATAATTAATTATTTTTATTTCTCGTCAACAGCGATCACGATGAAGGGCTTTGGAAAGTGTCATGGTACGTTACGTCGAGAGGAGACACAGGTGACTTTTACTTGGTCGTCCGAGAACCAGGAGGCAGAAAAAATATCATGGAAAGAGACATCGTTTACAAGGAGCGTTCGTACAAAATTAGAAATTTACCTGATCCAGATGCGAAGTACGAACTTTGCGTTCTTGCTCGTGATTCAGTCGGAAATATCAAAAATTTCCGAAACTCGCAGTGTAGAATACTCGATAAAACTTCCTATAATTCTAGCTCTACACAATTACCGAATAATGTTACTTTAATTCTTTCTTTCGTAGTACTTTTATTATCAATGAAATATTGAACAATTTTTATTTTAATCAACTCCACGAGAATTTTAAGCGATCACTTTTTAAATAGTATTAAAGTTTATTATTTTTGTTGCTAATAATTTAATAAAATGTTTGTAAACTTCTGTAAATGTATTTGTTGTGTTCAATTTATAAATGACGTGGAACGTCGACTGTTTGTAAAAGAAAAATTTAGATGTAAGTGTATATAAAAATTTGGAATGCGATGTTCGTATTCATTTAAAGATATTTCTTGTTGATTAAAATTAAATGTTGGATTGTAATAAATTTTTGTATCTATTTATTTTTATATCAGGCTGTTATACTTTTTATAATTGCATATTATAAAGTCGAAAATATAAATATAGTCCATATTCACAATGGCGAAAACATGACTCTATATGCTTTTATAGATTTTAAAAATTAATGAGTTGAAGTGAAAATATTATTATCTTTCATGTATTGTTTTACCCCAAAAAACTTAATACTATTTACTGATTTGTTTTGAGACTCTTGATCTAAAAACAAATTTTGATGTTGTTACATTGTGATTTTTTCATTTTACGATAATTTTTCAATTACAAAAATCGAATAGTCTTGGTGCTTAAAATAGCGATGAATGCACTTCAATTCCACTGCTAATGATAATATCCTATCAATTCATCCGTCAAGGGTTATTGAGAAAAGTTGTAATTTATATCATAATGAAGTTTTCTATTTACTACTGATATAATTTTAAAAACTTTTATTCAAGAAAGTTATGATGATTGTAGTACCTAAATTAATTCCTAGTATTATTTTTTTGCAAATTTCAATCAAATAATCATATTAAGGATGTAAGAAATCGTCAAAGATAGTTAACGATGATACTAAATATTTTTCATGTAATTTGTTTACATCTTGCTGTGTCATGTATCTATCAGTAGTGTCAAAAATATCTACATAAGAAAATTGTAAACATATCATCATGATTTTCTAGCTTTAACTGTAACGTTATTTACTTAAAAGTTTCAATAACGATTAGTGCGTAATTTTAACTCGAGATGCGAGGAATCATTCATTAGAATTTCTAAATCAATAAAAAGTATTTTTAATTTTGATTCCAATAAAAATTTTGTTGATGTACTTGCATTAAATGCCATGTGTTGATTTTTTGCTTCGGATTTTGTTTAGTTTTACATTTTGTTTAAATTGTTCTCTATTGAATAGATTTAAAACAGACAGTAAAATGAGACAAACGTCAAGCCAATATGTGGAAATTACAGATGAACCTTTAACAGGTTCATTAGTTTCACTCGCAGAAGCAGTTAATGAAGTCCTGCAAGAGCGTATCAAAAATTTAAGAAAGGATATTGAATTCGTAAAAACTATTCGAAGATCAACTAGTTATCAACTACTAGTTAAAGAATCAGGTATATTATTGAAACCTCCATCGTTTTTAAGTACTAACATTTCATTAACTCACAATGAACTTGCGTTACATGTCATGAGAATGATAAAAGTACTAAGATACCATGATAAAAGTAACTCAATTAAATATGTTTTTGTTTTTTTCAGACCCAGCATTGGCAGAAGTTAATAATGATCTGAAAGAGCGTGTGGAAAAAATACAAATAGAAATAGCATCTATATGCAAAGTCGTTGAGGATTTACGCAGTCAAGTAAAGACTGGGAGCAGAAAATCTAAAACCAATAATACTTTTTTACCCAGTGTTGCGGTGTAAAAATATATTTGTAGTACGTAATTATTTCATTTTTTATTATAGATAAATATTCAAAATTTTATAATTAAAAAGTAACAATAATTAATTGAAAAATTGGAGTATGGAAAAATAAAAAGTTCAAATTTTTCCAAAAAAATACTTCATCCGATTGTTGTAATGATTCTCTTTATTTAAAAGTAACATATCTACACATCTGATTATGTTTCATCTACTATGTGACATCTACTAGTTCAAATGATAAATGATTGTTACGATAAAACTTTGTAATTTTTTCTATGCGAAATTTTTTCTACCGGTATACGCATAGCACATCCCGAGCAAGACACAGCAACAAACTCTTCACGGGGCGTGTAGTTCATCACAGAGCCTAATTTCGTTAGATGTCGTCGCTACCAATAAAGTAGTTTTCCAGCTAGATTCTCAAGGAAGTCGCTTGATGTATCCTGAATATTATGTATAGCGAACTAGACATAACATCACTTCATTAAGTTTACAAGTTTTTAATGAGATGGCTGCTGTTAAAGGAGGAAGAAACGCCTAATTGGGTTACTTTAAAGAAAAAAGCCTGGAAGGTATATCCGCCCTTTTTATCTTCATCTTTCTTCAATATTTAAAACTAGTTGGTTGAGAGTACGTTTTACAGGGCTATTTTTATCTAAAGGAAATGGATTTCTCGAAGGGATATAGTTATGAAAGAGAATTAAAGCTCAAATCAGAGCAGATAAGTCGTTGCGAAATGAAGGCAAGTGCAGCACTTTCACCTCTAGATTCTAGGCTGTGGGTGATTTAAATCGTTGTCTATTATTCGCGTGCTGCATGGTGTATCGAACAAAATATTACTCAACTGCGCATCAAATAATACTTTAAAATATTAATAATAATCTTTAAAAGAGAAACAATCACGAAAGAAAATTCGTTTATCTATTAGAGCTTTTAAATACGTTTTACTTAATTGTAAATTCTGAGTTTACCATATCAGGCGAAATTTTTGAATTATATTTTTTTCACGTGGTTTTATACGTGTGCCTGCCTTTCCTTAAAAGTATTTGCGTTCTTATGACGCATAGTTTACTCATCATAATGAATGCAATATGAAACTTGCAATATTTACTCGTCCATATAGTTACATCGATTTCAATACATAAGCGATGAATATAATGAGACGGCGCGTAGGTAGATTCGAGTCAAAAATTACCATGATGGCAACATCGTCTATAAATACTGCAAGTTTTTTGCACGCCCGCCGATTCGACGTTTAATTTATTCGTTAAACGATTAAAGTTTAATTATCTGTTATGTTACGAAACTTGTACTTTGCTCTGAAATTGAATTCAACATTTTTTTATCGATTTTTTGGTTGAAACAAAAAAAAAACGACGGTTAAACTCGTTGTCGACGTTAAATATTGCCCTTGTAATTCACAAGATTAATCGATAAATCTCCCGAGAGATCGTTAAAAACGATCTATTGATTAAGATTACGTCGGAGACTCAAACGAGCGATCCGAGGGTTGATCTGAAATGTTTCTCACACGTTAAAAAGCAAATATCGCCGATTGGATTTTCGGCAAATTTTTATTCTCGTTATTATGCTCTCTTCGATCTTTGGTATGGCGCATACACTTATAATAATACGTGAACTACGCAAAAGGAAACTGAGAAGGACACACGACTTGTCTGTATGTGTGTGTGTGTGTGTTGTGTTTTGTGCTGTGCTCGTGTGCGCGCACGAGTTCACGAGAGGACGCCCACACTTTATACAGGCTGCTGCTGCCTCCGTGCGTTGTGTATATATGCGCTAACTTGGGTGTGTGTAACTTTCTCATCGCGTCGTGTCTTTTGTTGGGGGGGCCCGTCGTTAAAGGCCCCACTCGCGATCGCGTCCCGCTCTCTTTCGCGGCTGTATGCTATACACACGATGCCCCTTGCTCGCTACTCTCTCTCTTCCATGCACATACACACACACACACATACACACTACACTACACTTCAAGTCTCCCAGCCGCAGGAGTGCATTGGCAAATCTTGGTTGGCGAGGCCTCGCAGTTCCTCAGTGTCTCGCGTGACTTCGTACTCCGAGCATCCGTTCTTTAATGAATTGCCTCTTTTAACTTACTTTTCGATTGCGATTTTCCTCCTCGCCTTCTGCTTCGTAGGCAGTTATCATCGCTTATTATTATATACCCTGCGTCAAATTGTTAAAAGTGTCGTCGAAGGAAACCGCAGAGATCGCTGTGTTTCTCGACCAGAGTGTGATATGAAATGACTCGGTTGAACCGTAGCACTCGAGTCTAGAGAGAGAGAGAGCGAGAGAGCTAGGTGAGAGTTCGATCGGAGAGGTGGGATCGCGGATAATTGGCGCAGTGCGAGAAAGAGGCCTGTCGCAACCTTTGGCAAAACACTACACTGCGGAGACTGGCAATAGCAGCAGCAGCAGCATGGCTCGGCTGGATATGAGACTCCTCGTCGCCTGGACCTTGTGCGCATTCGCTGGCGTATCGCACGCGACGGGTAAGCACCACACGCAGATTAATTAGTAACATCGGCTTGACGTTCGATCGCTCGAATCATAGTAAACGTCAAGTTAAACATTTACGAAAGTATCGGTGGATCTTTTACTCCTTTCGAAAAATACAAATTTGCATCGTACTTTTACGCATACGTAAAGAGAAAAAGTAGCAGTCGAGAAAGTGATAAGCCGATCCAGCCAATCGATGGACGGCATACGTAATTCAGATCTCAAGCTCGCGGGACTCGAGATCGCTCGGTAATAATTAGTCCTTACGTCCCCTGCGAGCTTGATTTGAATGGCATCCGCTATGTATCGGCTCGACGCCACACTGCACACGCGTAAATCTGAACGATCGGCAATGGCAGCAGCAGCAATGCGGCGGACGATGCGAATGATTTATGTACAGGCTTATAGCGAGCAGCCACGAGTCTCTCTCGTGTGCAGTACTTATAGGTACTGGACGAGGAGATATCTATATAAATATACAAGTGCACCGGAGCTCGTGATCGGTAAGCGATGTGTGCAGCACGTTCGGGACGTTAAAATAATATACCTTCGACGATATATCGAAAAGCTCCCCCTATGGGAAAGTCGCGCCGAGAGAGAGAGAGAGAGAGAAATTCGCGCATATGCAAGAAGGAGGAGGAGAATCGCCGGATCGAGAGAAATGTAAACACGGGCGGTGCTGGCGTAATTAATCGCCGCTTGACAAGCCCTGTCTGGGTAATGACTCGCGATCGCAACAAAGTATACGGCGGGTATATTAACTTACTCGCGCGCGCGTATTCATAAATAAATTAAATAAGCTGCGAAGAGCTGGCCAGACGATAGAGAGAAAGAGCGCAGACGTATAAATATTATAATAATAGCGATATTGCAGGTACGCACACACGAAGCGTAATATACGCGAGCTCGAGTTTTACATATGAGTAAGGACGAATGAGTGAAGAGGCGCGCGCGCGCGAAGGCGAAAGATAAATGCGAAAAAGGCAAAAGAGGGAGAGTGAAAAAACGGACGCGGCCTTGAAAAGTCTGCGTTGGCGGCTAGCGTTGGCATGAAATACACGCGCTCGAGAGCTCTGCTCTGCTCTGCTTCGGCTCTTGTGCAACTCCACTATACACTCGGACACGATATTGGATTTTATACTTTATTATGCGCGCGAACGCGATCGGTGCGCCGGCCAAGCGGCAGCGCGGAGCTGCATATACATCATATTACGAGCGCACGAGGATATAACGTATACGCGCGCGCACAATGGATAAATAAAATAGCCTCGTGGCCGCGCTGTTGTTCGTCGTCGTCGTCGTTGTTGTTGCTGTTGTTGGGTTTCGTGTCCGCAGAGTTCGCGGTGCACCACGGAAACAACATCGAAGCCTGCATATTCGCGTAGCATAGGTAGTAGTTTCTCCCGAAGCTGCACGCTGACCCTCGCAGCTCGCTTTGTCACGCTTCACCTCGCGCGCGCATAGGGAAGAGGAGAAAAATGTAGCTCGCCATATATTATGTGATCTCTCGCGAATCGCAGGTAGCTCTCGAATAGCCTCGCGTGTACACACGTTGTTTTTGCAAGAAAGGTGAGAAGTAAAAATGCCCGGGCAGGAAGGAAGAATTTCATTTACCTCGACTGTGTTGCGATGGATTTTTATTTTTACGTGCGAGCCGAGAGAGAGAGAGAGAGAGACTCGCGCTTACCGGACGCGTTGTACGCAATTTATGGCTCGAGCGAATAATACGTACTATTATACCGAAGCCTTGTGTATTATATTATACAGCGAGCGTGCCCCATCTTTTGCGCAAGATTCATTAATAAAATGCAATTTCAACGCTCGCGCGCGTCTGCACTGCTGCTCCGGATTCAAAGGTACGCGCGCACGAGGTAATTAATAAACGATCAGTTTTCGCGAAGCTCCCACATACGGTCGCAGCGCAGCTCTCATATGGTAATTGACTCTTGAAGAGGTCTCAATTAATTCCTTAGAGCTGGCTGTGCACTTGTGGCGATAAATTTTACGACTCATTATATTCCGCGCAAGGTATTATTGTGCGTGCTTCATAATGAGCGTCATTTTTTGCGCGTCTTTATAGAGCCTCGAGCGACTGAAATGAAATAATACTTCGCGATAAACGAAATTGCCAGAATTTCCCCGACGTGTATTGCCGATACGAAGAAAATGAAATTTGCCTTTATAAATTACCGAGTGTTGATACAGCTGCACTACTAACCTTGATTTGAGATTTTATGTTCGCTGATAGTTGGATAGTTTTTGAGTCAGATAAGTAGTGAGCATGACATCGGAAGAATCGATTCGTCAAGCGTCATTTAGCACGAGACGGCGGCGCGCCTTACTTAAGCGTCTCTTTTCAGCGATACCTTCACCGTAAAACCATTGCGGGTACAGACAGGAGGAGTCGAACGAATGGCGCATAGGCATTTAATAAGTATCGAAGACGGCGTCGGTCGGCAGCATGCCCGTGGCTCATTCAAAAGACGACCAAACAAAAAAGTCTGCTTAGACTTGACGAATTTTTAGCAGTCGACTTAATGACTTGATGATTTTGCTAGTAGCAGCTTGTCTGACTGCTTGCCTTGCTCGCTCGCTGCTGCTACTGCTGCTGCTTTCGTTTTCATTGAAACGTACGTGCGCGTTCGAACGTGCTATATTCTTTACCTTTTAATGATTCTCATTGTACAGGTATTAAAAAGGGCTTTCCTCATTATCTTTGATTTATCCGAGTATTTGAGAGAATTGATAGTCGACTTCAGGCTTTCAGAGGAGCTTCACTATTCTCGAGATGCAATGAATGAAATGCAAAATCCAAGAAATATATATTTCCTCCGGCAAGAACGATCGTCTTGTGCTTTTTTGCTTCGTTTATTCTTTGAGCTTTGACAAACTTTTATTACCGAACATTTTTATTCTTAAACTTTGTCCTGATAATAACACTGAAAATGAATAAAACTGACCGAAAGTAACCATTTAACTTTTTTTTTAAATATCTTACAATTAGTTGACTTGTTTTTGTCGATTTTTCTGTAACGATTATGTTTATAATATTAAACATATTTTGAATAAGTTGAAAATGATAATGTGCTTGATTTAAAAAATTTAGACCAATTTCAACCCCTTCAGATACAATCTTGCCTTTTACTAATGCTTATATTCAGCAAATTACCTTCCAGCTAAGCTTTTACCACTAGATGACGGGTATCGATATAAAAGTATTTGTTAATCTGCAAATGACAAAGTAAAAATAATTGTGTAAGCAATATGGCATAAGTATAATCATTTCTCAATATTTTCAAAACGATTGATAAATTGTCTCTTTGATCCAAGTAATAATACAATTTTGGCGAGTAAAAATTATTTGTTCCGTATTTGAAACATTTTCTATTATAAAGCGAGGCAAAAAAGTTATGCAACTTGAATTTTTACAAGTATATAATATGAAAATTTAGAATTGCACGAAGAAATGGCACGTACAAAGCATTACGCGCTCCAGTCAAGAAGCTACCGGTATGAGGAAGTTGCGGACGCTATACACTAGATGCCAAAAGACTATTTCGTGGTCAAAGATAGGCTTAGCTCGAGCGCATTCATGCGAGAGCTCTTTACAAGGATCGTAGCGTGTAAATAGCATGTAGGTACAGACTCGAGTGCAGCTACTGGCGTCAGCCACACCGGCACCGACGCACGAACGGCTGATGCTTATATGCACGTACACTTGCAGCCAAGAGAGAGAGAGAGAGAGAGAGAGAAGCTCGCTCGCGTGATTGTCATATAAATTGCTTTCACGCATTTTCTAACACCAGCTCGTCTATCGAGTCTCGTCCGAGACTGCCGCGAGTCTTCGTAGTTTCTGTATCCAGTTTTTCGCTCTTGCTCTTGCTGAGCTGCTAAACGAATGAGATTCTGAGGTTTGGAAAAGAAAAAATCGCCGAACAAACTCACGACTTCTCATTTGCAATTTAAGTAAATACATATACTGTTAGTAATGGTCGATAATGTACCCATCGGGTTTAGTACGTCTATATGCATTGTGCATGTTTATGAAATGAACACTCAAAATCATAAAATCGAGTAATAAATCAGATATATACCGGAAATCTGACGGCACCTTTTGAAATTAAATTATACAAAATTAAATATTTCTATTGTCACTCTATCTCTTGTACACATGTAACGTTTTATCTAATTTAGTCAACTTTTCCATGCGCTGACTAATACAATAATTTTAACTTTGACACTTGTGCGTTCACAGATAAAGGTACTCATCATCAAGCGGTGGTGATTTAAAGTGGTATCAAAGTGGTTGAAAACTGGTCTAAATTTTTCGAAACAATAGAATTGAAATATTCAGGACATTCAAAATATGATTATTATTTTTAACATTATTATTACATTAAAAATGGCTAAAAACGAATCAATTAATGACGATGTATTTGAAAATATTTAAAATAGCTATTTTTTTGTTATTAGTCTTTTGTTAATGCTGAATGTTTCTCCCTCGACTTGTGCTTGTAAATTTTTTCCGAATGGAGTGTATTGATCTTTGCTGCAGAAATAGTTTCAAACTCGAGGTATTGTAAAAATAAACACAAAACGTTGTAAAAGTCGTTGAAGTGGTGGGGTAATTATGAAAACAGCTTTATATCTCAAATGTCAATGATAATGCCGAGTAGTAGGAGATGAATATAAAAAGCCAGTGCGTACCTATAATTATCATAGCTGCAGGTAGTAGGGCTCACATGTATTGACGATTAAACGATTCTGAGAAAACATTAAACAAGATACGTAGAGGCACAGAGAATGTCTTTTCTGGAAGCTTACTTGTACGCAGATATATCTCGCCATCAGGTTTCGAAAATGAGGGTAACAAAAAAATTGTTTTATGCCGGCGTATAGTAGTTTGGTTTTAGAATACCGAGAATACGCCCCGCGCACTTTTTATTTTTAATGAAAAAAAAAAAAACGAGTAAGAGTTCCGACGTTCAAGGTC